GCATCGGTGTCTTAGCACAACCATCCAAATATACTATTCCATCCGACTACGCTATCGTGTTCTTCCTTGGTCTCGTACCCGTGGGTATATAACAAGCCCGAATAATTAGTGATTGGTCTTTGCGTCTGTGAAGTTGGCACCAGGACGATTCTTAAATCGGTGAGCCCGACGTAATTACATTTCCCGACCGATAACAGGTATTGAATTGATGAGCCCGTTCCATTTTGTATTTACATATTGTTTTCATTTAGATAACATTTATATATCCATTTACTGTACTTTCTCATGTCCGGCCACACTCCCAAGCTTATCCGCATTAAGCCGACTACGAAGACAATCCAACTCGTGCCATATTGGCCAGACAATGCGGAAACATGGCTTCTGCATGCCGAGGCGGATTTTCGAGGACAGGGCGCCTCAGATCCTCATTCTCGATTTCTTGCTGTCATACGTTCACTACCGCGGGAATTAAACAAACATGCTATGGCACACATGCTTACTCCTGGAGTAAGTGACCCTTACGCACTTCCCAAGGTCGCACTCTTGAAGAAAAGCGACCTCACAGATCGCCAGCGCCTGGACGAATTACTTCGTAACATCGAGCTAGGCAGCCACTCAGCTACTGAAGTCCTAACACACATGAGAGAAGTTATCGGCTCACGAACATTCGACGATGGCCTTTTCCGAAAACTATTTCTCTCAAAACTACCACAGCCGGTGCAGACCGTGTTGGCGACACTGCGGTCAGTCCCACTCAATGACCTCGCAGCCTCAGCAGATAAAATACTGGAGATTTCTAGCAGACCCGTCTCCAATGTATATTCTATCTGTCACAAACCAGAGCGCCAGGATTCAGAGGTGACAAAGCCGTGCAACTCTGTGAAACAGTTGCTACGATCTCGAAGTCGTAGCTCAAGTAGCACTTCACAGAAACGCACCTTGGTGCATCGCAGCAAGTCACGTGGTAGCCCTAAAACTAAACCCAGCAGGGTGGAAAACCCTGAATGGTGCTGGTTTCATAAAACTTACGGGATGAAGCCAGAAAATGTCGGAAACCATGCCGTTTTAAGAAGGACATAAACTCGGGAAACGGTCATGCCGGCACGTGTTCACGGCAACCGTAGTCGGCAGAAACAGCCGTTTGCTCCACGTCACCGACATTAAAACGAAAGTCCGCTACCTCGTCGACACCGACGCAGAAGTTAGCGTTCTTCCAGCAACGACAAAGGAGCGTCATCTTGACCCATCCTTCAATCTTCAAGCAGCCAACGGCAAGGCAATCGCGACATTCGAGAGACAGTGCGCCTACCTCGACTTAGGTTCACGTAAACACATCCACTGGATGTTCCTCCCTGCTGACGTTTCTATGCCTATCATTGGCATAGATTTGCTAAACCATTACGATCTACTCGTAGATGCTCACCGTCGACGTCTGACAGATAACAACACAAAGTTATCTATTGGTGGCACCACCTGTGTAGGACCGAGTTTAGCCCTCGTTAGAACTAAACAGTCAGGTGATGCGTCCTACCAGGCAGTTTTGGAGAAATATCCAGAGTTGCAACAGCCGAAGCATACTCTTCCGTGCATAACCAACAATGTTATGCATCACATCACAACTATAGGTCCACCTGTGGCATCCGAAGCGCGCCGTCTAGCCCCCGATAAGCCCAAGAAGGCGAAGAGTGCATTCAACCACATGCTCGAACTGGACCTAATCAAACCGCCAAACGGTCCTTGGGCATCACCACTGCACACTGTTCCCAAAAAGGATAGCAACGACTGGGGTCCAACCGGCTGTTATCGAAGGCTTAACGCTAAAACAACACCGGCGGATAGCTCAATTATCGAAATTCTTTACGATGTGCCTGGTAATGCACAGTTACAACAACTATCAGGTCGAACCGTCAGGCTCCCGGAGTGTTTGAAGTCGTATTCGACTTAGTGGTGTGAAATAAGATGTGCCAGCCACATTTATTTTTATTTCAAAATTTTTTTGGGCACTACTTTTCTCATTTAGTAGCAATGCGAAACTCCTCGTACATTTCGCCTTTTTTATATTAATTTTTGTCACGTGTGATGAAGCGTTTTTTAAAAAAACGGTGAAAATAAGCGTAAATTTTTTTCTCGATATATTCATATGAACATAATTCCTATTTTTACGGCACATTTTCATGGTGTTAAAGACTTTTATTTATGCTCCAGGTGCAGCGAGCACTGGACGGAACGTCAAAGGAAACTGAGGACTGCGATTGACGTCCAATTCGATTTACTGTATTTCATTTTTTAATTGCCACGACACCCTAGAATAAGTTCAGACAACCAGAGGCCACTTCACGCAGTGAGCCCATCGGAAGAGTTTTACCAGTGGAGAAACCACCGGGTTTATACTTCCGGCTGGTATCGTCTTAGGGTCCTCACGAACCTACTAGGGGGGAGTGATCTGTAGCGTCACACACTTCCCCAAAATCAATAGCCTAGGGTTTGACGACTTTCGACATTGATGCCAACCTTGGTAGTTTAACTGGACTGGCTAAGCTGAAGGCACCCGGTCAGGCATCCTCACCATTTGGCACACTGTCGTGTTACATTGCACTGCTCGTAGCTGACTCTCTAGCCAGTTAGTTGGAAAGCATCGGTGTCTTAGCACAACCATCCAAATATACTATTCCATCCGACTACGCTATCGTGTTCTTCCTTGGTCTCGTACCCGTGGGTATATAACAAGCCCGAATAATTAGTGATTGATCTTTGCGTCCGTGAAGTTCGCACCAGGACAAGTCCTGAAATTTATTTAACAACTCACAACTGAACGTTTTGCTAGGTTGTATGGGTTAAAGACTTTTGCCCGTAGGTTGACCAGTACAGAATCCTGATACATACCTCGCGTTAGCTCCTGATATTTACACTGTCTGGCGCAGGTGGACCAGCGGTGTTGAGAGTAATAAACAGGGGATAGTGGATCTGAAATGTCAGATGAAGTTGGAGTCAAATATCAGGGCGCGACATCCTGAGTCGTTATCGAGAGCCGCAGAGATGGAAGAAATTCAAGACGATGTAGCAGTGTCTACCAAGAGACATGAAAGTCGATTACAGTGTTACGATGCTTGGGGTTGACAGTAGCCTGATCTGATTTGAGTGCTGAAAGAGTTTTTGCTGCTGGGTGACAATTTGTCGTTACTCACATCACGGGAGGTCAATACTCGCTGCCGCGTCTGAGGAAAACGTTGGATTAGCAGTGGTGGCGCGCGACCAAAAAGCCAAGCGTTTGAGGGTTGCCGATGAAATTTTTCCGTTTTTAATCCAGCAGTGAACCTATATCGTTCGCACCGGGAGATCTCAGGACAAGGCCCAGGACGTCGTCTCGTGGGGAATCTTTTTCAACAACCCCTCCTAAAGAGAAAACAGCATCAGGATATTACTACACTGGGATTAAACAAGTGAAAATACGCCCTATACAGTAAATCATATTAACTCTTTGCCCAAGTTTTTTCAAACCATCCAGTCCATTGTTGGTCGGGATACCTTCAAGTGATTTAGTAGTTAGTGATATCCGTTGGGTTTCACATTCTCATGAAGGCCCGCCATTTCGCGCGTGACATGGTGACTTGTGCCAGAAGGTTTCACAGTTGTTGGTCACCCATCTCCGTACATCCAAAATTTCTTTGCTGTCAGAAGACAAAGAATGAAGATAGACCACCTATTATGGGTCTCTCGAAATCGCCACAAAACAGCTTTTTCGATGCTAGATTACAGGATCATCATAACCTTTCCTACACAAGGACGACTAAGCCAACTTTGAAAAACGTGAGGCGATTTCTTTTGCCCAACGAATGAAATGTTCGGTGTCATTTTGGGGGACCTTATTGATGTGTGAACCCTTTTGTTTAAACCCAACAAGTTTGCTTTTTCGTACGGCCACTTGTGTGGACATACGCAACGTGAGGACACGCCTGAGGTAGTCAGCATTCTTCCCCATTCAGCGCCCGAACGTACTGACCCTGATTTTAGTATGAGTTGCAAAGTTAAAACTCATGGTGGCGGGACAATCTCCACGATCAATTGACCGTAGTTTGATGAATTTTAACGCTAGCACACGCCATCATAGCTCTAACAAACGATTTTGTCTTAACACACATAGCCACATGCCCATCTTTTTGAGCACCTTGTTATGCTGTGTGGCGCCACTTGTTCACAGTGCTTTGCCCATCGACCGCCACATGTCGTTCTTCGGTACGATCCTACAAATATTTGGTTTCCCCCCTAAGAGCCAACTCGGTGTCCCCACTTGGACTCGTACTGTAAGTATCCGAAGAGAGCAACGAAGTAGTGGCTTGCAGCCGCATTACTGAAAATCGCCTTACCATCCTTTGAGCAACCTGGTGAGGGTTATGAGACATGGTTGAGTGGTCATTCACACATGTCAGAAGGGGGTTGAAGAAAATACATGCATAAACCACCTGAAATGTACAAGGTATTTTCACATAAAGTGTAGTTTCGGGTAGGAAACTCCTCATACTTTTGAGTTGAAGCCAGAGGAACAGGTAAAATCTTGCGATTGAATTTCGTCTGATTTATTCCCTTTTTAGTTTTTTCTAGCTTGCAGCACCTCAGACTACATGTTAGGAGAGCCAGGAACAAAATCAAGTAGTTTGGATTGCTTTTTCAAATTAAATTATTAAATCAGAAGACAGGTGCTGTTTTAATCATGAAACGGCTTATCTAAAAGCAATGGGTATGTATATTTTTTCCAATAGTACCTCAGAAACTGAGCTGAAGCTAAATTTCCAAGTCTCTTAGTATTATTAGTCTAACAGCCGGCTACTCATTGTATTTACTTCATTTCAATCAACCAGAAATCTAAGTCCTTCTTTATTTTCAAAGAGCACTTTTGAAAAATCAGTTGATTACTTTAGGCATGTGAAGTAAATGTTGCCAATTGCATCACCCTTCGTTTTATCAGGGCGACTTGACCTTGGACGGTCTTTTCTTTTAAACACAACAAGGAGATTCCGATATCTAGTCTCAGTTTGAAGACTCATTTCCTTTGGTATTCTTCATTGCACTGAGACGAATTTTGACGAAAATAATATGACAAGCTATCAACACGATATGATATGCCAGGAATAGCCAAAAGTGATTTCTTATCAAAATATCATTTTTGTCTGTATACCAGTAATCAAGACGTATTTCTAGAAACATTAATTTCTGTTGGCCTTCATAAACATATAGAATGCACAGCTTATCACATATTTGTCTTCAGTGTACCTAATTTTTATCTAATTTCATACTGTTAATGATTGAACTCGACAACTCATCAAAGAAACGTCCTTGGGAAGAGATAGCTGGTTTAGTATCCCACTCTAAGCGCAAGATTAATGATAGCACTTTTGCAGTGAATAATTCAGATGGTTTGATTTGCATTAACTTGGAAAACGTGGGTTCGATGGGTGTAAACTACACGCAAAACTATTTCACTCCCTTGCAACCTAATTATAGCTTGACGTTCAAGGACTATTCACCAGAACAAAGCAAAATACTTCATCCTAACTGCTTTTCGACGAACATTGACTTTCTTATCCACCCCAGTTCAACGATGGATTCACAGGGAAACAGGGATGAACTAAGCACCCCCATTACAATAACGGGGTTCGATAATTCCTCGGGTGTGAGCGCCGATTCCTATGTGAGTTTGTCTGTTTACGTTTATATTTCCATTTAAAACCCATAGACTTATGTTCGGCACTTTATTTTCTAATCATAGAGAATGTTTTCCTATTCAAAATCTGTTAGTCGTAAATCATGCGCGGAAAATAGCGGTTAGATCATCATGGTTGTCCCAAAACATATGTTAGATTTCACTAAAATCCCTTAGATATTGGTTTTTAGAGACATCTTTCTGCTTCCCATGATTATCCGTTTGAAGTACACGCTTATTCTTCGGATTACCCAACATGTAAACTTTATTACAAAGAGTTTCCAGACCTTATTGGATTGATGACCATCTCCTAGTGGTAGGGTATTCGTAAAATGTGATTGTTTTCAAGGCTCATGGTTGCGTTTCCTACATACATAAGTTAGTAACTTATTTTTGTATTTAACCTAAATTTTAGAATAAATGTTAGATTATGGAACGTTTTTAAGCTACTGATTATTCACACAAAGTTAGAATGTGCGGGTAATTATCTAAGATATTTAAACTGATTCTCCCCTTTTCGGCCAAAATTGTGATTTTTAGACCATTTTATGAGTAAGGATTATTGTAGGGTTTATCTATAGAAGCACTTTTACCATCTCAGACCATTACAATTTTTTTTAACTAAACGGGACTGACAAGAGCAGCAGATGTCTCAGAATAGTCTGGAGTCATGTAATGAGTCTTAATGCATTCACAACTGATAGGCATATTCACTTTTGTTTGAACGATTTACTTGTGGCCTGATGCTTACCCATCGTTTTAATGAAGATGTTAAAAATTTCAGATTAATGCTGAGTGCTGTTTTAATTTACGCAAAGATGGCCTTCAAAAGCAAGCTAATAGACTCAAAGTTAACATCAAATCTTATGCAAGGCTAGTTGAAAGCTAGATCTGGCTTCTGCAACAGATTTTATTGGAACTGCCAAATAAATCCTAGAAACGTAGAAACAAGTGGTCATTTGTTAAGCAAATCTAACTAAACTGTTTGCACACCCAAAAACACATTTGACCACATCTCTAATCTAACTCAAGCTTCAATTAAGTAAACCGTATGCATAGACATTACGTAGAATAAACATGATTTATAATTAAGGAAAACGTTTTGGAATATTGCTGTCTCTGATTATTGCAATTGCTCACAAAATTGGCGTTAATCAAGCCTATTATCTAGATTCCAAGTTTTTAATATAATGGGACATCCTTCATTGCAAGATATGATATTTGGGAGACGACGTTTGTTCCCAACTATCTCATTTTAATTAAATGTTGACTGTTACCTTCGCGACCTGGTTTATTTAAAGGACTATGTTTAGGTTAAATGAGATTCTGTGACACATTTGTACCAATTACATTTGGTTCTACTAGGCAGATAATAAACCTTGCCTGCCTTTTTTCTTAATGCTTTTTACTTGTTTGTCAACACCTGCATTTCTGGAATGCGTATGCATCGGTTATGGTACTGGTTTCATTTTTAACCTTTTTAGGTTCCTCATAGGACTACTTATGTTTATGTGCCAGCGGTTGTTTTACACTATTGATTCCAATGTCTTTGTTATTCAGAGTGAAGTATGATTGATTAATCCCCCATACTTTCGCACTCAATTTTCATGAAACAGACTGTTTTGCACTGTCATCATTTTACCTGTCATGATTTTTATACGGTTGAAAACCTCTTAAATTCAAAGCGTACCTTTTGCAAAACGCAAATGTTCAAAACTTAGACAAATATAACAAGTAATTGGCTGGGGATATGTTGTCGCAAGATACGTTTCAGTACAACTGTACAGTTAACGAGTGTTTTCGTGTATTTTACGAGTTTAGGTTTAGTAAAAGAGTGAAAATAATATCTCTGAAACGATTATTTTGCGCTACGTATGTGCAAAAATAAATTTACCTCGGAAAATATATGATTCCCACACATTTGGAACGGTTACACACAGATAACAACAGTTTTCATGCCTTAGTAGTTCACTTGGAGGTACGGGTTGGTGCATAGTAAAGCATTTAAGCATCAGTCAAAGCGCGATTCCAGATGGCTTTTCTAAGTAATACATGTTGCTCATGTTGCTTTATACTTCATTAATACAAAACAGATACATTAACTAACCGATGTTGAAAATCGTTACGTTTCTTGTTGAGCTCTCTGCCTGTAAAAATAATGTGGGAAGTTGGTATAACATCATTCACTGTCAGACATGTTGCCTCGTGTATTCTGTATTTTCAGCAGGTTAAGGAGTAAGTTAGTTACTCAAGACAATGTCTGTCTATATACTTGTTACACTGTCTTTGTTTTTAATATTTAGAACCACTGAGTGGATGAAGGATTTCGATATGAGTATAAAGCGTCTAAATTATTTAGTACTCTCTCTTAGGATACTGTGCTTTTGTTTGGTGACAAGAACATTTTGAGAAAAATCCTTTTCAATTAAAAAAACAGTGACTTAACATCTTCTAGATATATTTTCTGATGCAGTAATTAACCACAGGACTAACAGACGGAATAAAGAGGCATATAAACCTGTTAACACATCATATCAAAGCCATAGATAATGTCTTGAAGTTTACACAGACTATAGCTGCTTTTATACTTATCACAGTTTTCAAATTATGAACCGCTTTTAAGTCATCTTATGCATCCCATACATCTTCATCTATGAAGCATAACACGATTAGTATCCAATCTTCAGCGACATTCCGAAAAATTTTTATGTAGCATTACCTCGCATCAGTAACATGAATTGATAACACATTTTCGCACAAACTTTATAAGGGCTCTGTTAGCATGGATATTAAGGGTCTTTGCTTAGTTGGTGTACAGATAGTTTCTTGTTAACTGTTTCTTACTAATGTACCTGTTTTCAGTTGTGATTTATTCAACTTACGATCTAAGCATGGTAGTATTACCGTCCTCAATCCGAACAGAAATGAAAAGCATTTTGTTTATATACGCTGTGACACTATAGTCTTTGGTGCTGAACTCTACAGGCTGCGTATACCATGCAGCAAATAGTGCAACTGCCAACTGTTTTCTGCTTGAGGTCATACGGTGTTAGTATGTGTGCATTTCTCATGGACGTTTCATACTTTCGTGCCTTTTTCCTTTTATTCCACACTTTCCTTTATGGGGCAGATTGTTGATGTCATGTGTCATGGTATATCTTTATTTTATATTTTTTCTTTCTACTGCTTCCTCTTCAGTACCCCTAATATATTTTCCAGCTGAGTATACTTTACGAAATTTTAAAAGTATAGCTGTAGTATTTACTCAGTCATGCGAATGATACTCTCTCTTCTTCGCCTGTTATATGATGGACTTACCTGTTTAATGCAAACAGGAATTCCACCGATGTTCGTAACGTATTATTTAAAATCTTACTGTCTTGGTTACCTAGGAAAACCAAGTTCTTCAAGTCGGGGACAAAGAGTTTTGACCAGCCTTACAAGCATTAAATCCCATTTTGAAATAGATAGCATAAAGCAGCAAATAGTGTTTCTGTAGTATTCAAATTGTTTTAAGTTTTGATCTAAACCCTTCCCAGCGTATTGAATAGCATAGTGTTTCTGTTCTACCAGTAAAACCTATGTGAACTATTTAAATGACAAGGTGTTTTATTGTTGTCCTCCAAAGTATGATGAAGAAAAGTCGGTCAGGAATCGAAAATGTCTTGTCAAAATGATTCATATTTTTAAAAAATATGCTTCAAACCAAACATTATGATATTTAATTAACATTGTTTACACAGAAACAACTGCAGGCAATGGTAGATTTTTACCACTAAAAAAATAGATAATAACAATAATGTAGAAAAGTGAACACGTGTCGTTTTATTCATTTTGGAATGAATTGCATCTAGTGTGTGAGGGCTTATGGTGCTTTAGCGTCTGAAAGAAGAATGGACTACAAACATGTAAGGTATCAGTTTTCAGTGAATCACTTCCTTCGAAAACTACTGTGTTATGCCTGGACCTGACTGGTAGAGCATAATTCCACTTTATTCATCTACTATATACATATGACAGATGAGAATAGTTTTATTTTCTAGGTGAAATTTTGATGACAATTTACTGTACATGGTAACCTTGTAAATTAATCCGAAACGGGATGACTGCATTCACAGACATATTCAGATAAACTACCTTTAGGACATTTATCCTAATAATCTTACCATGCCTTTGTTCAACCACTATTGTTAAACTGAAAAAAAGTTATCCCAGGGCCAATTCCGATATAGAGATTATCACACTCATTGGATAAACAAGCTCAAAAGTAACTGGTTTGAAAACTGTTTACACGTTTACACTTGTAAAATTCTATACAATTGAGTTCTTTTTCAATTATCAAACTATTTTGCTGTGGAAGATACCAACATGTGACTGGTTGTCAAAAGATTCGCAAATTGATCAGTCTTCTTACTAAACATGCATAAAATTATTTCAGCTGGTCAAATTCGATTGTCCCCGTGTATTCAGTATCGGTTATTTTGAGAGAAAATGAATCTCCTCTGTCTAGGTCACTAAAATCTAACTAGCAAAATAAACAGTTTAGTATGATTTGTTTCCAGATACTCATATTGTTCAACAGTATACTCAAGTTCCCTTTATTCTTTATATCAAATATTGGAAAACTTGTACCACTTTAATTGAACGATGTTTCTGTAGAGATATTGTTTTTTTATTAAAAAAATGCACAGATATACATGACTGTTTATCTTTACTGCATGGATAAATTCCTTCGTGTTATGCATAGTTAAATAATATTTGCACTGGTCTATAGGTTCACTGCATTATTATTATTATCATCATTATTGTTATTGTTTTTATTATTTTTCCACTTAATTAGCTGCATGTAGCCTAGACACTGTTCGTACAGTTTTAAATGTGAACGGTAAAAGAATGACTGTTATATATTTATCTGAATTACATTTCTAATCTTCTGATAATCAATACTGTATACGATTGACTGTTGATTTCGTGAATTCGATAGTGGC